AGTCCTAATCGATTTCATATTTGACCCAACCTCTTAGTTCTAGATGTAAATGGGAATAAGCAGGTAAGAACTCTACGGCGCCTCAATACTAAGCTTTCGTTCAAGTTCACCAGTCCTTGAAAAATCCCTGGCAGTAGAAACGGATTGCTCTCGATTAACAACCAGAACTTGATAGACGTTTTAACAAAAATCCAAATATATAGTTCCTTACGCCAGAGAACATTAACAGACACAATTTTCATAAGCCAGGCTTCGTGGCAATATTAAATCTTTCCAAACCATGGCCGGGTCACGAAGTGTTAGTGATGATAAAGTAGGCGCAACTTTACTCAATAAAGTGCTAAGCACTGCAGTTGCTGGAAGTGCTGTGAATGAAATCCTACTTAAACGATAAGATATTCACTTAAAGAACATCGTAGGGCATACAATTCAAGTCTGGAAAGATTATGCGGTTACTGACTACACAAAAATATCATGGCACTTACACTCGTTTCCAAAAAATGATCTTGGAGGAGCTGTGCCGAAATTAACATGCTGACGCTTATGAACGTACATTTTAAATATGCGTGGTGGTAGCACGTGTTGAGTACAGATCCTGACACATCGTTTGTGATGCCTATGAGAATCTGACACTAAAACGTGTTTAAATATCATAGAGTCGTAGCCCCATAGTGTACTGTGTATAAATGATTATTTCTGTTTTTAACCAATGTGCACGCTAATGATGAACACTGTGATTCGTATGAAACGTTGGCTCACAATGCACTTTTGTAACTACATGTCCCTTGTTCAGAGAAAAATCATATTGGTAGATTTTCTGTACAGAATGACTAATAGTTCATCTACAAAATGTCAACATATTTTGCAATCGCCTGACGCTGACAAAAATTAATATGGATTTCAAGCGCAACATGAATCCGAAAGTTACGTTTAGATGTGTTATGACCTTCGCATGGACAACCGTTTAAAAGATACCAACAGCGACCGTCAAAAATTTACGACGATCGACCGTCATAAATTTACGACGATTTAACAACTCATGCACAATTCATACACACATATATGTTTACCAAGCACTAGGCCGCAGGTAGCATTTGCGACGCCATGCATCAGCTGTTCTAAAACTTGAGGTGCTAACTGGGCTGAGCAACGAATCTCGTCACTAACTTCATGAACAACTAAAAGCATCGAATCAAACATATTTCATAATTAGCACAGATCAATACAATCTCGGCTCCAAATGGCTTAAAACGTCCAGCTCCGGGTTTCTATCACCCCCCCCAGTCATTTGCAGTTGTTCACATGCCGAATAAGAGCGAAATGTAACACAGCAAAAAGTGGCAAGTTACTGTAATGGCTAGAACAACATTATAAGGGCACTGAGGGTCACCGCCAATACGTAATGGCGTTTAGATGAATATAGTAGATCACTATCTAAAGCGATGCCGATGAAGAGTAAGAAGAAAAGGAAGCAGCAGATTTGGCGTGTAACGCCGTCTTGTTTACACTCGTACTGAAAAATACTACCATTGAATGCAGCGCATACATACTGCCATTATATTTACTGCTTACCATCAACATATAATTATTTAGGTTTCCTTTGACTAAGATATGGCCAAGCAGAAAGGCCGCTCGTGGATTTCGCATCATCATATATGGTGCAAAAAAGCACTTTTTATAAGGGCTGATTGGATCAATGTTAATTAGTTATATACTGACGTTGAGAAAGACAAATAAACCAAAAAAAAGAACGGCACGGGGCAGGTAGACTTGATGCTTATTTATAAGCCAAAAGAAATTACTTGAATAATCATACGCACCTGCTTCATTTCCGCTACCGGCGGCTTCTGTACGCTGATGATCTGAGGTCAAGTCCTTTGCGGGTACCTGTGTTTCTTCGCATTGCGGAACACCCCCGACAGTAATATCAGAAGCCGGCTGCGCAGCTTTAGCTGCGGCTTGACCCGTTTCTTGGTTCGAGACTAGGGGCACATTACTGTCGCCGGCGCCACTTGTAACAGATGAAATGGCAACCGAAGAGATGGTTCCTGAAACATTCGTCGTTGTGGTGGCAGTTGGGGCTGCATCGTTGCCGGCAGCTGTCGCTGTAACCGCTGCGGATCCGTCAGACACAGGTCTTCGCTGAAACCCAAGGGTAATTTGGGCCTGAAAATCATGATGTAGGACAGAGCATAAACTTTGAAGCAGTCGCTAGAATAACAGCGAACCTCAGCTTGGTGAGTCGAACCGTCGTTGCCTGCCTCCAGAACCAACTGAGGATATAATTTACGCGGCGGTTTTTGGCAGAAGTGGATGTTCAGGTCACTTATTGCGTGGTAGATGTGGGCCATCTTGTGCAACACGATCTGGACGACTTGAAAAAGCTTCGAATCAACACGAGCCTCTGGATCCTATATAAAAAGCGTAAAATATGGCTGCAGCGACTAAAACTCTCTTACGGTAATTCAAGGAACTTAAAAAAAGATAGATATAACAGTATTACGTACATTTTCACTGTAGCACTTGTCTGCGGCCATAATTTCCGTATAGCGCTGCACATGCGGCTTCAATCGCTCCTCCGTAAGGGCCAATTCTCGCATAACTTCGGATAAGTCTGACGGAGATGCATGTCTAAGCAAATGAAGGCAAGTTACTCATGTGGAAATAGCAAGGTACTTTTATTAGGTGAAAAAATTAACAAACAGCTGCTTTTCATCAACAACAAAAAACAATGAAAAATGAAAGGACTGAGTAGCCAAGTCTGCCATGAATTATGTATGCTGTGGATTCAGCGGCATTTCCCACAACTGAAACAGAAACAGTTTGAAA